AATGATGAGGACAGGTTAAAAGACACAGGAGCCAGCTTGCTGGGTCTTCCACTGGTCAAATCTCAAGCCATTGAGCATAAAATAAGTAATGATTGTAATGGATTATAGTTCATTAAATAAGTATAATTCATCTAACCCATGAGTTCAGGTTGATACAAATAAATGAATAAATAAATATGAAAGAAAAGCTTTTCCTCATAGTAAAATGCCAATAAATACATGTAGAAGGAAAAATAAAGTTAGAAAATCACCACTTGGCAAACACTATAGATAGAAATAACTGACTTAGGCAAAAATTGGTGGTGAATGGTAAAATAAATGAGTGAAAGTTTAATGAAGAAAGGGGATATCTACCAGGGTCTCAAAGTATCCACTCTCCACATAGTTACTTATGACAAACGGAAAAACAGTAACTTTCCAGTGAAGAAACTTGGCAGACCACCCTTCCATAGCCAAATGATCAGAGTTAATATCAGTAATGGGTCAAATTGACATTATGTAGTTCCTGCCATGATATACCAATTTTTGTAGCATTTCTGCTCCAAAATGCATAGTCTCGATATAATCCTAATTGGCTTCCTTACTTCCACTCTTGTTCCCTTACTTGCAATCTTTAACCCACACCTCTATACAAAATCCTGAAGAAAATGTCCATTTTGCTCTTTTTAATTGGCTGCAAAGAGGAAGGAATGGTGAGAACCAGAGCATGTGTCCTGGTTGAGCAACAGCATGGAAGTTTGGGTCCCTGGATACAACAGTGATTCTCCATGCAGCTAAGGACAGCCTATGCTTGAACTACCCCAATACAGTTTTCTATTAATAAGGTCACTTATTCTGGCCATTGTTTCTTCAGGCCAATAATATTCAGTCTAGCTTCATATCCTTGGCTCTACCACTTATTATTTCTCTGGGTAAATCACTTATATTTAAGTTTCATTTGCTTATTCAGCTATTTATTAAACGCATACTTTAGGCTGAGTACTGTGCTAGGTGCTATGGCAACGAAATCTCTACTGACTCTATAAACTCCTCATCTAATGGGACATGGGGGCTCTTAGTGATTCATTCACAAGTTGTGGAAAATGCTGACACCACCTGCCTCATTGGACTCTCTTCAAGAGCAGTTAGAGCAGTGGTTCTTAACCTTCCTAATGCCGTGGCCCTTTAATACAGTTCCTGTGGGTTGCAAGGACCGCTGAGTTAGAGTAATGTAAGCAATGTGAGCACCATTCAAAAAAGAAAGCAAGTTGGAAACGTACTTTTTAGCTAATTCTGTCCTACATGGGCAACAGCACAACAATGAAGTTTAAAAGCCAAGCTACTTCAGACTACAACCATAGAGATCAAGAAGGAAATCATCCCAACTGCTGTGAAAAGGCTTTGCCTTTGCGAAGCAGAAGGGCAGGGACAAACTGGGCTGCACCTAGCAACCAATGGCCTAAGACTGGGTAATTTAAGGTAGATGAAGGAAACAGGAAACAGAATCCCTTGGGGGCCCCGAGAGCTATTTTTTTTTTTTTGAGACAGTCTCAATTGTCTCCCTGGGTACAGTGCCGTGGCGTCACAGTTCACAGCCACCTCAAACTTGGGCTCAAGCGATTCTCTTGCCTCAGCCTCCCAAGTAGTCGAGACTATAGGTGCCCGCCACAACACCTGGCTATTTTTAGAGACAGGGTCTTGCTCTAGCTCAGGCTGGTCCTGAACCTGTGAACACAGGCAATCCACCTGCATCGGCCTCCCAGAGTGCTAGGATTACAGGCATGAGCTACTGTGCCAGGCCTGAAGGCTATTTTCAAATATCTGAAAATCTACCGTATAATATAAACTAAAGAATAGGCTAGTTCCAGGGGTGGTACTCTAACTGCAATGGTAGAAATTTTAAGAAGGAAAAATCTAGCTTCAGCACATTGGGATGATTTTTGTGACACTAAGAGCATCTGAAAATAGAACAATTTATGATGTTGCAAGCTCCTCGTCAGATGGTGCTCAAAGGTGAGCAGACCAGATGTTGGGGATGCTGAGGAAAGGATTTCTGTGAAGAAGGTGTTAGGAGGGAGAGGTCAATGACTTCCAGGGCTTCCTGTACTTCAAAGAACCCTTAACGTTGGTTTTCATTTTTAGGAGGTCCTTCTCTTTTAAACAAGATTTGTGTCATAATGTCATAATTGATGCACTATTTTACTCACCGATTGTGAAGACATCCTTTGTTGTCTATAGAAATAAACTATTATGCAATGCTGTATGTTTTTGTTCTTATGTCCAAAGTACAAGGAGATGACACTACACAATACTACAAAGGTTAAACAGTGGTTCGCTTACCTTTGCTGATGAAATAATTTGCTTGGCCTGGCGCCTTGATAAGTGATCAACTGTCCTGACCAGCACTTCGGGATCTGCATTAGCTAAGTGCGTTAGGCTTTTGTAACCTGCATTGTATAACTGTTTTGCTCGAGCCTGAAAAGTGTAACAAAAATCATTAGGATCAGGGTTTGGGATTAGGAAAAAATTAAGCATCTTACTGAATGGAAAAATCTTACATTAAAAGATAGGAATAAACTAAGATAATAAAATAAATATGAAGAGATCACACATTAGAATCCTGAAGAATTTCTAAAGATGCATTTGGGTGGCTCCCAACCTGCTGCAAGCTGCTTTCTATACAACTTCAGCCAACTACCAGGCACTGCGATCAGGAATGAGGAGTCCATCGAGGCACTTGGGTTGGTGGCAGAATTTCAGGTCTTCAGGCAAAATGTTCTAGTTCAATATCCTTAAAATTATTCTCACCCACTGCTCAGGGGGCCTTTGGTATGTTCTCTAAGTAAAACTCATCAGATTCAGGAACTGAATAATAAGGAATAAACTGAAGCCAAGGGTTTGGTTGAAAATAGGAAAAGTCAGAAAAGCAGTTGAGGACACATTTGAGACTGACCCTTGATTCCACTGAATCAGACTGCCTTAAACAAGCACCGTGTCTGAACTGACAGAAGGTCCTTCTTCACTGGCGTGGAGACAGGAAGAGATGTTAAGGACAGGTGGGAGCAACACATACTTGGGGAGAATCGCCTCTATCTCCTGTTATTTCTTTTTGCAACTGAGATTTCTCACCAGGTCTGCTTTCCAATTAATAGTGGACTTCTTAGAGGCCATGGCCGCAATTTATTTTAAATAAAAGACTCCCATGACAAATGAGCAACAAGGCTCTTGTCATTACTTACCCTGTAGTAAGACTTCACAAAATAGTAGAAACCTGATTTTTGTGTAATTGAAATAACCTTTGCAAACTAGGAAGCTACTGACCTCTAAAACTCCAGTCACTTCCATGAGAGGGATTAGTTCTGCCTTTACACAGTAAGTTAGCTTCTTGGTAAGTTCTACCAACAGGGCTCTATAAACCCAAAACTCCTCAAGTTCCTGCAGAACACAAAGACATATACACAATTTAAATTTTGTTAAGTTATTTTGAAGTTTAGTTCACGTGGTAGGGGACTCAGGATGTTCCCTTATGTAAATTCTGTAACTCAAGCCAGAGACCAAAATTTTTATGAGAAAACATGGTGGAGACCCAGAGGAATTTGATGAATTGGTTTTAGGATGAAGAAAAACATTGAAAATTGAAAAATAAGTAGTCAGAAAAGTTCCATTCATTTTTAATAATAACACCAGGAAGTGAATGCATAGTTTTTCTTTCCCAAGTGACTAAAAACAATTTCAACCCCTGAGAATTTATCTTGAAGACAAAATACTAAATATGTCAAGATTCAAATGTAAGATGATACTCAATGCAGCATGAAAACAATAAAAATACTGGAAGTGTTAGTCAATTAAAGCTGGGTGGGCAAATGGGAATTCAATGTTATTCTGTCTTCTTTTATATGTGTTTAAATTTTTTATTATAATAGCATCTTTTATTTTTAAGGTTCCTTTCTAGCCTTTGGGTATCACTTGAGAGCTCACACTACATGAGACAGCGTTAGCTAGCCATCGTGGGACCTCACAGAAAGTAGCCAGTGCAATAAAGATGGGTAAAAAGAAGACAAAGAAACCTTGAACAGAATGACTAAATTAATCAACCCTGGAGCTGCCTTAGTTCTGGTGTGCTTGTTATATAAGATAATAACTTTTTCTTACTCTTTAAACTTTTATGAGTTTTTTGCTACTTGTTGAAAGTATCTTAATATGATTGGTATACTATTTTGTATTACTCATATAATTTTCTAAAAAAAAGACTTAAAAATACTAAAAGTATATTTGTTAGAGAGCTTAAGTTTTCAGCTAGATTTTTCTTAGGTTCAGTCATCAAATTATAGTTGTTTCTCAAGTTCTACATATAGATTCTTTTACTCGAACAATTCTGTAAGGCTTCAAGTCCTCATAATCCTAAATACAATAAAGGGAAGGAATATTAGAGAAAGCATCTTTAGCTATGAAGAATGACAAACACAGAACAGATAGGAAGATATATTTTAAAGGCTAGCTCCTCCTTATTACTCATAATTTTCGTCTACTGTTTAACGAGCATGAACTCAGGGAATATAAGCTAACATGTAACATTTAGAAATCAGCATAAATAAAAGACTCTTTAAATTTGCTAAAATAATTGATGCAATTCAATGCCAAAGATATCTGGAGTACTTAGCACATAAAATAGAATTAATTTCCA